TTATAGGTCATAATGCATGATCAAAACCGAAAGTTTCTGTGATGAATGCCCTTGTACTGTTCACCATGTAAGAATTTATTCACTATGTAAGAATTTGTTCACCATGTAAGAACTTGTTCGTTATGCTTCAGAAGATTGGAGACTGACGAGAATTAGGCTTGAGATGGATTAATGATTGTACATTGAGCGTTGACCCCCCTATACTGAATTTTATTGTGTGTTAGATCAATAAATATGAGAGATGCCCTCAAAAAAAAAAAAAAATTTGAGTTGATTAAAGTTTTAAGCCTGCTCCTCAGAGAAACACACAAGAGCATAGTAAATTCAGCAATTTCAGGAGGGTCACAAGCTGTGTGGTGGCAGACGCCTGGTGTGAACATGATGGGAGGACAGGGAAAGAGGGTGAGCCAGTGTTATGTAATGAGTCCCTACACTGCTATCAGACAGGGCCTTTGGAGAATGTATGCCAAATGCAGTGGGTAATCAGTTGTCTGCAGTTCTGAGCACCTTTTGACCATGCCACCCTGCATCATTAGCTTATTAAAACCTCTGCAACATTACATGAGTATTTTATTAGGCCAAACATTTTCAAAGGAAGCTTTTACACTATTACAACTACTATAAAATACTTGCTTCTGAAAGCAAAAAGTAGACAAGAAAGGGATTCACAAGGTATGATGACTAATTCTGAACTTCAAACATTGATCTTCAAAAATATAAGGAGCATTTCTGAGGATGCAGGATTTCTAAGAGGACTCAAATTTTCATAGCCACCCAGGATAAAGTATGAAATATACAAACATTGTGTAAGAATAATACAAATTAAAGTATGTGTGAGACTTACAAAGGAAGAAAAAGTCAGGATATTGTGCTTCTGGCATGAACTAATTGTTATCATAACTGAGTATCAAATAAGACAGACTCTGAGCTATGGCAAATGGGAAACATACATTCCTTAACTTTTTAAATTGAGGGGTGGGGTGGGGGTGGGGGTGGTGTGTGTGTGTGTTTGTTTCAAATATATAGGGGGAAAAAACCCTTATACAAATGTTTTACAAGGCGAGGAAGACAAGCAGTAAATTTTTTAGTCACTATGCCCCCCACCCCCCACCCCTCCTCTCTTCCTCTGTCTAGTTTATTAATCCCACAAATTCCACACAAGCCCCTTATGAGCTGGAAGAAGGGGAGCAAATTACTTACTTTTCTTCATTTCTTCATTTCCTTTATATATTGTTTGTTTCAGCTGTTCAATCCTCATCTTACAGGACATTATTTTCCATCTCTTAAAAAAAGTATGCAATAAATATCACAAACCATCTCTAATGGTTATTATGATTATCTACCTAGGATCACCACTTATCTTAAAAACATAATGAAAAGACCAATATAATAATATTTATTATACTGTTTTTGAAACTGTGGTGAATTACAAAGAAAAAAATGTTACTCATTTTAATATCAACTGCTAGGAAATTAAGAGAGAAGAAAAATCCACCTTGTTCTTACAAGTGTCAAAAAGTACAGAGAAAAATGTTGAAGGCTATTTTCTTAACCTGCTCTGTCCAATATGTAACTACTTGTCACATGTGGCTATTTAAAGGTCAATTAAAATTATATATTCTAAAACTTCAGTTTCTGCTCACACTAGCCACATGTCAAGTGTTCAACACCACATGGCTAAATGTCCACCACACTGGTCAGTGTAAATATAGAACATCTGCATCACCACAGGAGGCTCTATGGATGCACTGCTCTAACTCTTCATGCGAGTTGCTGAGGAGACCATTAACATCAAATTATCTTACTGATATGATAAGCAAATATTGCTTGCAAAATAATAAAAACTACAAAACAGAAGATTTTCTTTAAAAGTGTCTAACTCATGTACGATTTCTTGAAAACCTCATAAAACTATATAAAACATGAAACTGTCTTCTTATATTACCAGGATTTAGGCGCAACATCCCCCAACATGAATAAAAGATCAGAAAAATATGATCTAGTAGGTTGCTTAAAAGTATGATTATCCATTCTATAATGCCTCCATGGATCATTACAAACTTAAAACAATGCTCAAATACTTATGGTGTTTAACACTTGTCTGAGTAGTCTGATGGCATGAGATACAAAACATTACAGGGATGCTCCAGTGGGGTACACTCTAACCTCTGCAATGGGGAGACAGAGACATTTGCAAATAGATTCATGGGGACTGATGGATTCAGGAATCAATTGGCTCAGCAATGAAACATCTTCACTTTTAAAATGTATTAGTCTTTAAGAATTGATACTGAAGTTTCTGATAGAAAAACTACATTTTGTAAAGGGAATTTAGAAAAATGGGGATAAGATTCCTTATAACTAGTCTTCTATGATCTTTCTGCATACAATGTATTTCATTTCTGTAACATTCACAGCATAAGCAAAATCCATTTATACCACATACAAGTATTAATTAAAAATTATGAATGATGTTTATTGTGAAAAATATTAAATGTCACAGAAGAAAAAAGAAAAATGATTGTTTTCCTGACTTCCTCCCATTCTTTAGTTGGAATCTCAAAGTCTGATATGTATCTTTTCAGATTTTTTAGAGTATGAATTTAAAACACATATACAAATTGAGTCAATACTTTACCCTAGCCTACTTTTTGCTTGCTTTTTCATTAAAAAATATCATTCTACATCAACATATAATCATGTTCGTTTTTAACAGCTAAAAAGTACCATAATTATTTATCTCACCCTGATTGATGAACATACAGATTATTTATATATTAACTTTACTATCAGTGCTGCAGACAATCAGCTTCTTTATCCATAAATCTCTACATTCTTGTGCATTTTCCATTTTCTTAGAAGGAAAATTGCTGGACATACCACATGTACATTAAAAAGAACAAAACAAAAAAACCAACAAACCACCACCAAACTGTCCCCCAAATAAATACATCAATGTATACTCCCACCAACAGTGAATAAAAATTAAAATTAAACTCTCTTTATTTGCACATGTACTGATTTTTTCCCCAGTACATGTTCATTTTGCTTAAGGTCTTTAAATGTAGAACTTAAGCTTTTATGTACTCTGTCAAATGGTTTTCCTTCCTAGCTTCTAAATGTCTGCTCACATCCAGATTACATTAATACAGATTTTCTTATAATATTTTTATTAATTTACTTCTCACATTTAATCATTAATCTACCTAGAGTGTGTGTTTATGATGAGTAAACTTTGTCAGAAAGGACAGCTCATTATTCTTGTATTTCTATGTCAAATACCAGACTTCACAATTATCCTTTATGATGATTTATTCCATAATCATATGTCAATACCTGTTTTGGTATCTAGATGAAATAGTTCAGAAGCCCATACTACAAATATATTCAAACAGAGGACTGTCAAAACAATGATCAAAAATAAATTTAAAGTCAAAATTATTTTTTAAGTTCTACCAACTTAAAAACATGTAACCTCAAGTACAAAGAATATTAAATACTTCTAATAGCTTACCAACTGATCTGTTATCTGTTTTCCTTCCATAGCTTTTAACACTCTGTATGGAAAAGAGACAATAATAAATTTTGTGGAGTTCAAAAATGTAAAATCAACAACTTTTAAAAATAAGTTCTTAAAAGACTAGGAACAAGTCTAGGATACAGAGAAAGGGGAACTCTCCTACACTGCTGGTGGGAATGTTAAGCAAGTTCAACCATTGTGGAAAGCAGTATGGAGGTTCCTCAAAAAACTGAAAATAGAAATACCATTTGACCCGGGAATTCCACTCCTAGGAATTTACCCAAAGAATGCAAGTTCTCAGATTCAAAGACATATGCACCCCTATGTTTATCGCAGCACTATTTACAATAGCCAAGATATGGAGGCAACCTAAGTGTCCATCAGTAGATGAATGGATAAAGATGTGGTACATATACACAATGGAATACTATTCAGCCATAAGAAAGAAACAAATCCTACCATTTGCAACAACATGGATGGAGCTAGATGGTGTTATGCTCAGTGAAATAAGTCAGACAGAGAAAGACAAATACCAAATGATTTCCCTCATTTGTGGAGTGTAACAACGAAGCAAAACTAAAGGAACAAAATAGCAGCAGACTCACAGACTCCAAGAAGGGACTAATGGTTACCAAAAGGGAGGGGTATGGGAGGGCAGGTGGAGAGGGAGGGAGAAGGTGATTGAAGGGTATCATGATGGGTGCACATGGCGTGTGTGGGGTCATGGGGAAGACAATGTAGCTCAGAGAAGACAAATAGGGACTCTGTGGCATCTTACTACACTGACAGACAGTGACTGCAATGGGGTATGGGGGTGACTCGATAATAAGGGTGAGTGTAATAACCACATTATTTTTCTTGTGAAACCTTCCTAAGAGTGTATATCAACGATACCCTAGTAAAAAAAAAAAGATAAGTTCTTAGAAATGGCTGGAAATACCAAAGTGGGACTTAAGCATTTAAAAAATGTTTTCCAAGTTCCCTGTTTTCTGCAATTTTTTCTCACCATCTTTCTTTTGAATTTTTAATACTGACCAGAGCCTTTCTATAAATGTTCACAATAAACTCCCATAACTGCCATAGCCCTTGTCCTCAGTCATAATCGGTAATTTCCATCAGTCATCTTTAATAATGATAGTTAAAAGATAATTCATTATCTAAAATGCTATGATCGGTTCCCAAAGAAATGGTGCGAGCTAGCATCTGCAAAAATCTGTTCTGTGGGATGAAGCGTTCTGTGGAAAAAAATAAAAGTTTATGTGACCAAGTAAGTTAGATAAATGACTTAGTTAAATAAATCCAAGGAGGTCGCAGGGGGGCCATCAGGTGAGAAATTGGGGATCAACAGAGGTGAGGCTTAGAACCTCACCCCCCCTGTTTTGAGGGAAATCTTCTGCATCCGTGTATGTTTTGTTGCCCTTGTCTAGCTTGGATTAATACTTAGTCTATAAGCACAGACCTGATCATCTACATTTGCCCTCTTATAGCACTAAATTATGTTTTCTACCTTTATCTTGCATCAACCTACCACTGCAGCATTTTATTTAAAATAATAATAATAATAATAATAAGGGAGAAATGTGGGATTCACATATAAATCAAGTATAAAAATCAATGAATAATCATATCTGACTTGATTGTTTATAGTTCATGATGTGTGATCAAAACCGAAAGTTTCTGTGATATGACTGCCCTTGCACTGTTCACCATGTAAGAACTTATTCACTATGTAAGAACTTGTTCATTATGCTTCAGGAGATTGGAGACTGTTGAGAATTAGGCTTGGGGATGATTAATGATTGTGCATTGAGTACAGAATTTTATTGTTGTTAATAACCATTTGATCAATAAATATGAGAGATGCCCTCTCAAAAAAATAAATAAATAAAATAAAATAAAATAAATCCAAGGAGGTTTCTCTAATGCAGGGCATCTCAGAAGATTTTTGTCTGCTCATAAATGCGTTAATCAGACCTGGAGTGTGTCTGGAGAACAATGACTGGGTCAGTTTGGGACAGAAGGATCCATAGGACTATTCTCAAATCCCCAGGGTGAGATTCATTAGGGGTGCTTGTTAATAACTCAGACTGCTGGGCTTCCCCCCAGATCTACTGAATCAGAATATCTAAGCAAAGGATTCCACGACTGCATTTTAAACCATTAAGTCAGTTACTGAGTTTTGATATAGATGACCTGCAGACTATGTTTTGCAAAAAAAAAACTGATACAGAGGAAGGTAAATGGAAGCAACGGTGTCCTACAGGAGCCACCATCACTAATTTAAGTCTCATATGCCTACTGTCCTGGACCCAGTTGTCACATATCAGGGCCAGGGGTTTGATTCACACATCTGAACAGTAGTCTCAGAGTACCTGCTGTGTAGTGTGGGCTCTGAGTCTGATATCAAGATTTTCTAGAAACTTGATAATCTCTATTTTATTTCCCCTAGGTGCACTGTTCTTCCACCCTTTGAGATTGCACTCTAAATTCCCTAAGTTAGCAATCCATGCATCTGCATACCACAGCACTGAATTAAACCACATGGCGACTAGATAACCTCTGTTAATTAAAAAGCAAAACGAAAACTCACTCTTTTTGAAATTCTTCTTGTTTGCTCTTAAGTTGATTTAATCTTTCCTTCTTGTCTATAAACCTGTAAGAAAAAGATGTTTATTTAGATGTTCATTTTTTTTCAGTTCAAAGAGAGTATGCAAATTCCTGAGAGAAATTATTTCTGTAGATCGTCTGGAAATGTCACTGTACTGAAAGTAAATACACATCTTCTCCATGGGATATACACAGCTGCTTACCATTTGGTTATTTTAAAACTAAGTTCAAACTCTCAGCTTTAAAATTTTTTCATGAGTTTATAAAATATGTCTATAGTTCCCTCCCCCTGGTCCCCCTGGCCCCATTAAATTATCCTCCCAAACAGGCAAATCAAAGCACTCAAGTGAATTTGAGTTCAAGGAAATTGAGGTTTCCTTTATAAAAATAATTTAAATTAGCAGGCTTGATTTAATTCTGCTCACCTATAAATGATACTTAGTAAAAGTTAAAAAAGAAGGGCATCACATTGCTGTTCATTTTCTCTATCAGTCTTCCACCCTTTTCCTTATCATTTTCTTCCTGCTATCATCTTATTGAATTTTAGTTTGCGTTTTTTTTGCAGTTTATGATGGAAACTTAGATCATTGATTTTAAGCTTCTCCTGTTTTAATATAACCATATAAAGCTATAAATTTCCCACTAAGCATTGCCTTAGCTAAACCTAAAACTTATGATAGGCTATTTTATCATTTAGTTTGAAATTTCTGATTTTCCTTAAAATTCCTTCCTTGACCTGTCAGCTATTTAGAAGTACTTCGTTTAATTTTCAGATATATGGGCCTTTCTAGGTAAATTACTATTTTCTACTTTAATTCTGATGAGGTCCCAGAATATACTGATATATCAATCTTTCGACTTCAGTGTGTTTCACGGCCTTGCATACAGTGTGCCTTCATGAAATCTCCATAAGCACCCGGGAGAACGTGCACCTTACAGGTGGTGGGTATGGTGTCCTATAAATCCCAGCTAGCTGAAGGTGGCTAACAGACCTTCTAGATCTGTGCTGTTCAAAATGGTAGCCATCAGTCACATGTGCTACTGAGTACTTCAATTGGCTTGTTGCTTAGTAAGAATTTGGGTAAAAAAAAATTGTATGAGGAGCATGATATGAACTGATCTTGAACTGAGCTAACAGTGGCTCACTATTTTCAAAGAAACAGTGGTAGTGCCACAGGCTACTCTAACAGAGTATTCAAGATTAAGCTTTTGGCTATCTCCTGATTCCTAGCTTAAATGAAAACAATTTAACAGACCATGACAGCCTTAGGAATCTCTTCCTTAAAAGAATCCAGACATAGAAAGTATCTCTAAAAGAGTATTTCTATAACCTCATCTTTGAAACATACCCAAAGACATCTACTTCTTAACAGAAGGGATAAAATGGTCTAATCATGACCCTATCATTTAATAGTCACTGAAAATGCACAATATATAAAGCAAAAAATCAAATCAGTTAATATTACATAGGGCAGAATTACATACTTCTAATTTATGACATTTTAAGTTAAATAAAACATCCAGCTCCTCAGTTGCACTAACAAAACCATAATGGCTGCGTACAACCAGTGACTGCCTGACCGGACAGCGCAGACACAGACTGTCACAGCAGATGTAGCACTGCAATGGCTGGGAAGGTGGTAACTGCAGTGAACAGTATTAGAAAACTCAGAAACCAACATGGAATGCAGACAAACCCACAATTCACCAATTAATTTATCATGCCTCTACTATGTACCTGCACCTGTAACAAAGCATCTTCCAGAATATAAGAAATCTTGAACATATTGCTTGTTATCTATTTCCATTTCCTCGTATCAAAAATGAGAAACTAGTGTGATATTTACTTCTGCCTCACTGAAGCAGTGTGGCGGTTCATGTTCCAATAACCTGCAAGAGATAACAAACTCTCAAGACTTGTCAAACCATGCAAACCAAGGACTGACAGGAGGAGAAAATCTTGCTTTTAGAGGCTATCAAAGTTCTCTTGCCAGATCTGTTGTAAAAATGCCACTTTGCACTAAAACAAATTGGGATGACAAACAACTCTACCCAGCTTTGTACCAAGCTAGTTGTTCTCTTTCACTTTGTGTAAAAGAAAAAAAGTTTAAAACATAAACATACAAATGACGGCAGGAATATAAACAGAAGATAAAAAATCCCCACCCTACTAAAGACTTCATGAGTAATGTTATTCTTCATGAAGGAAATTAAAAACAGGTGGTGTTAACTATGTTAAACAGATAATATCAAGGAGTGCGGCTGGGTCAGCATTTCACCTGCTCATCAGCACACTCATCCAGTCTCTGCATTATCCGTCCCACCACTCCTAGAAACAGACAAAAAATTCATTCCACAATTCTGTGCTTTCCCAGTATGATTGTCAGGAAGTGTAAATGATGACCAGTCATTGTAGTCAAACCAGACTTAATGATACATATTTTACCTTAAAAAAAAAAAGAAGGGGGAAAGAATATTTTATGTACTGCCTTTCAAATTGGGTTTATCACAAAAAATACCTTGTATCTCTTTCCATGTCAGAACATATAGATCAGTCTCATTCTTTAAAGTACTTGGAACTTCAATGAATGGACATCACATAATTTATATCAAGCACTGATGAACACTTCCAAATTTTCCTTTTTAAACTGGGAGAGAAAACATAAGAAATATACAATGCTATAAATGAATATCCAAATGCACAAATGTTCATAAGCTTTTAGGTTTCTATATAAGAAATTCCAATAAGGAAAATTTATTTTATGCAATTGCTGCAGCAAATGTTTACAAATAAAACTCTGCAATTAACTTTGTTTCCTCTGAATCACTTCACGTAATTTACAATCCCACCAACAGTTGAGTAACAGAGCCTGTTTTTTCACACTTTCCACAAATACTGCATATTTCTCTTCAGTTTTTGCTGGTCTGATTGGCCTCCCACCTCTTTGCCCCCAAAATCGATCATTCATAGTTCACTTACCTGCCTTTATTTATTTCACTATTAGAAATGTTGAAAGCCTTTTCCTACCTTATTAGCTGTTTTCTTTTCTTATTTCCATTTATGTCCTTTTGTTCATTTTGCTATAGGTTTTTATAGGGCTTATGTATTAGGAAAATTAGCCATTTCTATCTCATACATCTTGAAATTATATTTTTCAGTCTGCTTTGTGACTATTTATGTTTCTGCTCTATAAAATTTTCCAAACTTTTTTGCAGACATGGTTATCAAGTATTTTGCTGTTGTTTAGAGAGTCTAGTTTTATATTATTTTTGGAAAGGAATCTGCCAGTGAAGCTGTACAATGCACCATAGCTTTTACAACACTATTTCTTATATTTTCTCTCCCAGTTTAAAAAGGATTTCTACATTACTTACCAAATTCTTCATACTTATGATTTTTTCCCCCTAAAGAAGTGCTTCCTTAAACTGATTGTAGACTAAATTCTTCTATGATTTTGCAACTGATTTTTTTCCATTAAAAAAGTACTCCCTTAAATTGACTTTCAAGTGGCCCCTCTGCAATGGAGACGATGAGAACTAGAGCAGGTGGTTGCCCAGCATGGGGGTGGTACAAGAGGCAGTGCAGGCTTTCAGGGGGACCGCCAAGGAGTCACGCCTGCCTGGGGAGACTGGAGGATGGCCTTGTTGGCACTGGTATGGGAAGGAAGGCATTACACACAGGGGAAATCCTGATGTTTCACAAGGTAAGCCAATCTGTCTTGCACCAAAGCATTTCAACATACCAAGTGGAATACCAGTGACAGGAGTGTGTTGTTAATGAAGTTATCAGCACCTTTCATAAAATAACTAATCCCTCCATCTGACTGCCCAGTCCTTTCCCTCAACTGAAGGGTCTATGTTTACTTTATGCCTAGGGTTATGGCAATAGAAAAGTCTGAGAAACACTAGTAATGAATTTTAAGAAAGGCAATAATAATAATAATAATAATCTTTCAAATATGCAATTGAGGGCCTTAAAATATATTAAACCCCTTGAATGAGTTATTGCAGGTTAAGGAAAGAAATCAGAGATGAGGAAGGAAGATTTGTGTTTGAAGGTGGTAATCTCATCAGTCTATCTCATCAGGTTATCTCATCAGGTAATCTCAATAGCAAAAACTGGGAACAACTTTTTTCCCAAAGGAGAATGATTTATCAAATGGCACTATATTTCCATAAAAGACATTAAAATATTTTTGTAGCTAAAGATATGAGTATGTGTTTATGAGATGCTGGGTTTAGAAAAAAACCCACATGAGTAAGAATAAGGCTGAAAGGAAATATAACACAATATTAACATAGCCATGAGAATATGGATAAAATCTGTTTCCTTCTTTAGGTATTGCTATAATACCTAAAGTATTATGTTTTTAACAATAATCATATATACTTTTATAATCAGAAAAAGACACCATTCAATCAATTAAATTTCTCATGCTCCCCTTTGAGAATCATATCCTATAAAAAATACACACAATCACCTAAAAGCATCTAAAGTTCTTAGGTCTCTTGAGACGTATTATATTCCTTAGGTTCCTTAAGCCCAATGGGGGAAAAATGAGCCCTGAGTTTTTGGGTCAGTGGTGGGGGACTTTCCCCATCTCTCATTTGGATACAGGTTTGGTAAAAGAGTTGATGATTTTTGCTTCCAGAAATAAGGCAGTGACACTTCTCAGGTCAGGAGAGCACAGCAGTCTCCCTATACAGAGATGATTATTGAGCTAATTATTTCTTGAACTAGGATACTAACATGGTAAGAATTACTAACCATCAAATTTTTCTTCTCTACATTGTTTAGGCCCACAAGGGTATAATGTTTATGGACAAGTACAATGAGAAAAAACATGGTTCCTGCCAGGACGGTCCTTCTATCTTAGAATATTTATGAGAAAACATAGTAAAAACATACTCCACTGGAAGGAAAGAAGGTTAACTCATTAATAGAAAACAGAAACAAAGCACTGTTCAGCTTCTTCACAAATATATGGGAATAATGCTTTCCTACTTGGTTATAGGGATTAAGATAAATGTGAAAGTATCAGCACA